GAACAAAAGGTCGAGAATATCAAGGGCATCAATGGTTAAAAAAAATAAGAAGGAAGGCAACCTAATAATATCAAACCCAAACTATACACAAACCTGTAATCATCAAACAATTTGATACTGGATAAGAATACAATGGTTGATCAGTAGAACAGATTAGCTATACAATATACCTGCACACAGTAACCTAGTGTTTGATAAACCTAAAAATCTTAGCTTTGGGGTGAAGAACTCAGTATTTGGGGAAAAAAAAGTACTGGGAAAACTAAAAAGTAGTTGGGCAGAAACTGAGCATAAAGTAACATCTGCCAAATACTCAGATGAGCTTAAAATGGGTATGTAATTTAGATATTAAAGGTGACAAAATGCCCATATAAAAATGCCTATCAATTGGGAAATGGTTAGAGACATTTTAGCATATGAATGTTGTGGAATATTGCCATACTATCAGATAATTTTTAAAAGGATGAATACAAAGACACATGGACAGAATTATATGAACTGATGTGAAGTGAAATAAACAGAACCAGCAAGACAGTATTCACAATGACTGAAACAATATGAGTGGAAAGAACAATAATCATACACAAAAAATTTTTTAAAATCTCTACTATGATCAGATACGTGCTAGGTGTTATAGTGTGTGTGTGTGTGTGTGTGTGTGTATATATATATATATACATATATATATATATATATACATATATATACACACACACATATGAATAAATATACATAAATATGTATATCTTGTATGTGTATATGTGTATGTTCAATATATGTACGTATGTGTATGTTCAATGTATGTGCATATTTACATACATTCAAAATAAACGTGAAGAAAATAACTATAAAGTAGTTAAATACAAGGTGTTTTCAAGGAGAGGGTACTAGGACTTGAGGGAATCAAAGTTAGGCTTCATGTAGAAGAAGTTATTTCAGCTGTATCTTAAAGAAAGTAAAACATCTTGTGAGTCAAAGATAAGGAGAGAGTTTATTCCAACTATAGGGGTCAGTCAGTGCAGAGACACAAAGAAGAGAGATAGAATATCTTATGTGAGAAGCTCTTTTGACTCAGTTGCAGAATATAGGAGGGGCAGTTTATTCCAGAGGCCATAGATAACTACTGGAGTTAAATGAGTAAGGAGATGATATGGTTAGATCTGTGCTTAAGTAAAATCGCTTTTATATCACTTCAGAGAATGAATTGAAGTAGAAAGAAATTGAGGCACTGAGACCAATAGGCCAAATGCTGTGAAATTATAATGATCCCTGCAAAAATGAAAGTTTGGCCTCAAAAATCTATATGAAAAAATATCTTGAGGTGGAACCATGATGGCTGAGTAAAGGCAGGGACTCACCTGAGCTCTCCCTCAAACCCCTCCAAATACCTTTAAAAAAATGACACTAAACAAATTCTAGAGCAGCAGAACCCACAAAATGATGGAGTGAAACAAATTTCCAACCCAAGACAACTTGGAAGGTTGGTAGGAAAGGTCTGTTGTGCCAGGGTGAATGAAGAGCGCAGTCTGGCACCGGTCACACAAGCGCAGACCAGGCCTCAGCAAACCAGGAATAGGCCTTGAGAGTGACAACCAGTATCAGCTGCTTCTAGAGCTCTCAGCCCACAGATGGTAAGGGGATCAAACAACTGGTCAGAAGGAGATTACAGAGGTTTCTTTGCTAGCACTGAGGCAGCACTCTCTTGCTTTGCTTATACTTGGCTCTGGGTTGCAGTCCTTGGTGGCAGTCCCATGGCAACAAAGAGCACTAGCATAGCACAGTTTGTGGCAGCAGTGAAGCAGGGACCCTCGTCACAGGGCCAGGGCAGAAAAGAGTGCTTGTGGTCACTCACAAACCAGAGTGCATGCCAGAAGAGTAGTAAACACCTCTCCTTAGAGCATACCACCTTGGAAGAACTGAAAACTTACAGGTCCCTAGAAGTATCTCTGAAAACAGTTGCACAAAACCCCTGATGCTTGGAACAGTGTGCCCTCCACCCTGGAAGCAGAACCCTACCTTAACAAAGAGTTAAAAGTCAAGTAATAGGCTATGAAAATGAGCAAACAACGGGAAAAAAAATACCTCTAGACTATTGAAAGTAACTATGGTGACAAGGAAAATCAAAACACGAACTCAGAAGAAAATAAAGTCAAAGCTCCTACATCCAATGCCTCCAAGAAAAATATAAATTGCTCTCAGGCCATGGAAGAGCTCAAAACAGATTTTGAAAGTCAAGTAAGAGAAGCAGAGGAAAAATTGGAAAGAGAGATGAGTCAACAGCTTGGTAAAGGAGATACAGAAAAATACTGAAGAAAATAACACCTCAAAAATAGAGTAGAACAAATAGCAAAAGAGGTCCAAAAAGCCAATGAGGAGAAGAATGCCTTAACAAGCAGAATTTGCCAAATGGAAAAGGAGGTCCAAAAGCTCATTGGAGAAAATAATTCCTTAAAAATTAGAATGGAGCAAATGGAAGCTAATGAGTCTATGAGAAATCAAGAAATTATAAAACAAAACCAAAAGAATGAAAAAAATAGAAGACAATGTGAAATGTCTCACTGGAAAAACAACTGATCTGGAAAATAGATCCAGGAGAGATAATTTCAAAATTATTGGACTACCTGAAAGCCATGATCAAAAAAAGAGCCTAGACATCATCTTTCGAGAAATTATCAAGAAAAATTGCCCTGATATTCTAGAACCAGAGGGTAAAATAGAAATTGAAAGAATCCATTGATCTCCTCCTGAAAGAGATCCCAAAAGGAAAACTCTCAGAAATATTATAGCCAAATTCCAGAGTTCCCTGGTCAAGAAGAAAATATTGCAGGCAGCCAGAAAGAAACAATTCAAGTATCATGGAACCACAATCAGGATAATAGAAAATTTAGCAGCTTCTACAATAAAGGACCAGAGGGCTTGGAATATGATATTCTGGAGGGCACAGGAGCTAGGATTACAACCAAGAATCATGTACCCGGCAAAACTGAGTATAATCCATGTGGGGAAAAAATGGATATTCAATGAAATAGAGGAATTTCAAGCATTCTTGAGGATGGGAGCTGAATACAAAATTTGATTTTCAAATACAAGACTCAAGAGGAGTGTAAAAAAGTAAACAGAAAAGAGAAATCATAGAGGACTTATTAACTGTTTGTATTCCTACATGGGAATATGATATATGATATCTATAATAATATATATTAGATGATACATTAAGATATATTAAGATAATATAATAATTTATATAAGATGATATTTATATAAGACCTTTTTATTAGGGTAGTTAGAAGAGTGTGTGTGTGTTGTGTGTGTGTGTGTGTGTGTGTGTGTGTGTGTATATGATATACAGAGGACACAGATGTGAGTTGAATATGGAGTGATAGTGTCTAAAAATAAAATTAAGAAATGAGAGAGGAATGTGCTGGGAGAAAGGGAGAGACAGAATGGGGTAAATTATCTCACAGAAAGAGGCAAAAAACGCTTTTACAGTGGATGGGAAGAGGGAGGAGGTGAAAGAGAGTGAGTGAACCTTACTGTCATCAGAATTGGCTCAAAGAGGTAATAACATACACACTAAATTACATATAGAAATGTATCTTACCCTGCAATAAAATGGGGGGGGGGATGATAGAAGGGAGTGCAGATTGGAGGGAGGGGGTAGTCATTAGCAAAACACTTTTGAGGAGGGACAGGGTGAAAGAAGAGAGAAAATAGAATGAATGGGGGGGAAATAGGATGGAGGGAAATATAGTTGGCAATAGTAACTGGAAAAAATTTTGAAGCAAGTTTCTCTGATAAAGGCCTTATTTCTGAAACATATTGAGAATTGAGTCAATTTATAAAAAATGAGAGCCATTTCCTAATTGATAAATTATCAAAAGATATGATCAGTTTTCAGATGAAATAATCAAAGCTATCTATGGCCATATGAAAACTCACTATTGATGAGAGAAATACAAATTGAAACAATTCTGAGATACTACCTCGTACATAGTAGATTAGCTAATAGGACGGGTAAGTAACAAATTTTGGAGGGAATGTGGGAAAAATGAGACATTAATGTACCATTGGTGGAGTTGTGAACTTATTCAACCATTCTGTAAAGCAGTTTAGAACTATGCCCACAGTGCTATAAAACAATGCATACCTTTTGACCTAGCAATACCACTACTAGGTCTATTTCCCAAAAGAGATTAAAAAAAAAAAAAGGAAAAGGACCTATATGTACAAAAATGTTTATAGCAGCTTCTTTCTGGGGGCAAAGAATTAGAAATTGAGGAGATGTCCATCAATTGGGGAATGGCTGAACAAATTGTGATATGTGGTTATGATGGAATACTGTTGTACTACAGGAAGTGAGAAGCAGGATGTTCTCAGAGAAACCTGGAAAGACTTATATGAGCTGATGCATAGTGAAGTGTACTGTGTTCAAAGTAACAGCAATGTTGTAGGATGATCAGCTGTGAATGACTTAACTATTCTCAGCAATACAACACTTCAAGACAACTCTGAAGGACTTATGATCAAAAATGGTACCCATACCCAAAGATCTGATGTTATCTGAATACAGATTGAAGTATACTTGTTTTTTGTTTGTTTGTTTGTTTGCTCTCTTGAGGGGTTGTTTTTTTTGTTTGTTTTATTTTGTTTTTTGGTCTATGTTTTCTTTCACAACATGACTGTTATTGAAATGTTTTGCATGACCGAAAAAAAAATCTTCTCCCACTTCTTTTAAAGGTGCAGGACCGTGGTTGTGGAATGCTGAAATTGATGTCAGACTTTTTGGTATTTTGGTTATGTTTGCTAACTTTTTTTTTTCTCCTACTCCTTTTTAGTCTTTATCATTAAGGCTGGTTCTTTGGGCAAAGTTAGGGAGAGAAATACAGTTGCAAATATAGGTAATATGAAAACAAAAAATATCAAAAAAATTTATTTCTTAAAAAGTAAAACAAACTTTTGGAAGATTTCTAACAAATTGAATGTTTTTTGTTTGTTTTTAGATTTGTCAGCAGTGGATCACTCAGTGTTTCTGGAATTACTTGGATTGGATTGAAATCTGTCACTACATTGCCACTTGTATCTTTCTTGGTCCTGATTACCAGATATACATATGTATATGTATATTAAAACATTTGCAGCAAGACATTCTAAAGCATTCGCAGTCTCAGGATTTACAGGTTTTTCTTAAAGTAAGTCTACTTTTAATTTCATGGGCAACACATAAATTAAATATTATATTATTTTTTAAGTGGAGTGTTTTTATAGCAAATCATCTATATATCTTTCTATATGCGTTTATGTATATATGTATCTGCATGTATGTATGTTTATGCATATATGTATACACATGCCTATGTGCATACATATGTACTGTGTATATATGTATGTGTGTATATCGGTTTATGGAGAGAGAATGCACATATCCCGTGTCCTTCAATTTAATTTTGGACTAATGTTATCAAAAATAGGTAAACTTAACCCCTACCCTATTTTGTTGTTTTGTTGCTGTTTAAAAAGATTTTCCCTGTAATTTCACATTGGCCTTACCGTTGATTAACAATAGATATATTTTAGTTGCTTTCTGTTTGGTAAATAATGGTGTTAGACTACATGGCAGTCCAACTATTTAGAAGAAAATCATTTGAAAGACGCTAAGTTTGAAAGCTATTAAGATTTCCTTTAAGTATACAATACTAAAATTCAGTCTGAAAAAAAAAGTTTTCATTGAAATATTTTTGTACTTTTTTGTCTTACATAGTTAATTGTAAAAGTAAATTTCATTTAGAAATGTTAATAATTAAACTCATGACAAGAAATATAATAACATGTAATTTAGTTTTAAAGAATTTTATTTGGATATCATATTTCATGTGATAAGGTCACTGAATATGGAATCAGAAGACAAGTTAAAATAATAGCTCTGTCATTAACTAGTGGTGGGATCTTCAGCAAATCACTTTGATCTATTTCAGTTTTCTCATTGGTTAAAAAAAAGGATGAGGAAGAGGATTAGACTTAATGATCTCTTAAGTCCCTCCTTTTTTTTTCTTTTCTTTTTTTTTTTTTTTGGCAAAGCAGTTGGGGTTAAGTGACTTGCCCAGAGTCACACAGTTAGTAAGTGTTATGTGTCTGAGGCTGGATTTTAACTCAGGTCCTCCTGACTCCAGGGCCAGTGCTCTATCCACTCTACCACCTAGCTGCCCCTTAAGTCCCCTTTTTACACTAAACCCTTGTGATTCTTTGAGCTTCTAAATACCAGAAGGCACATATCAAATGGAATATACCCGATCTAATTTTTTAAAATGTTATAGTCAAATTTAATTATTTCTTGAATTACAAATATCCTGTGGTCATAATAACTAATTAATTTGACTATAATCCACTCCCTATGATCTGAGATTATTCCATGTCACTTTTCCTTTTCAGACAGCTCTATGCCAACAATTCCACTTTATGTCCAGTATTAAAAAGTAGAGAATTTTTTTCCCTCCACCTCTCTTCTTTTTTATGGTTAAGGGCATCAATGATTGTCTTCACATTCTACTTTCTTTCATAACTTAGTTCATTCTACCTCAAACATTCTCTTCTTCACACCAGATGCACATCTTCTTTACCTTAATCCTCTTATTCTTCTCCCTCTTCTATTTTACTTTTTTTCCATCTTATGCCAGTAAAATATTTTTCCCTCTCTTCCTGACCCTGTCCTATCCTTTTCTTGTTCCATCTGTAAGTCCTAAACCAATTTAATCATGTTTAACAAATACGAATTATAGTAGTGATACATCTTTGTCAAAGGAAAGGGTTGTTTTATGTTTTGAAGTGAAAAAAAAAGAGGCAGTAAAGAAAGAATGCCGTTAATAGTACACATGACACAAAGAAAGGAAAAAAGGAACCACAAAACTAGAGCTGCATAACAGAATTAGAAAAGTTGCATAGATAGTACATCTATCTAGACCTTCTGAGAAAGAAGTAATGTTCCATGCTTCCCAGAATCATAAGAAAGGACCCAAAGCCACTAAAAGAGTGCAAAGAAACCTGTTACTGACCCAAGAGTGAGATATATCACTGTAGTTAGTGACTTCCTATGGAGTAGCCTTATATAGATTTGATATAAATAATGAGATGCGCCATCTTCCTAAAGCAGAGGTTCTTATTCATTCTTGTGTCATAGATCCCTTTGGCAGTCTTGTAAATTTAATGGATCCCTTTCAAAATGTTTTTACATTCATAAAATGAAATACATAGGATTTCAAAGGAAACCAAAGGTTAGTGGAAATATTTTTTCTACATCCAAGTTCATGGAACCCATGAAACCGATTCACAAATGACAGGTTAAAAACTGTTGTCTTAGAGGCTGTATATGAGACCTAAGGGAGCCAGTTGATTCTTATTAAATCTGACAAACACTTCCTTACTTTGACTAATTTGGGAATCAGTGATCCATTAGAAACCTACTGACTAGAAGTGGAGCCAAGACAGTGGAATAAAGGAAACACTCATTCAACATTCTTTTTAAACAACTTTAAAATAACACCTTAAATCAAATTCTGGAGTGGCAAAGCCAACAAAAGGTCAGGGTGAGATATTATTTGAGTCTAAGGAAACTTAGGAGGTCAGGAGGAGAGATTGGTGACATGGGGGCTGAAGACTAACACCAATGGTGGGACTAGGTAGTGGCGACAGAAGCAGCAGCAGCAGCTTTGGGAACTCGCAAGTCAGAAACCGTCAGGGGACCTGGCAGATAGATTTAGGACCAGATATCTGGCAATTCCTTTGTTCATACCCACTTCTGGGTCACGTTTAAGGGCACAGAGGAATACTTTATGTGAAGTAGGGAGGGGAATTTACGGCAAGTTTCTCTGATAAATGCCTTGTTTCTCAAATATGTAGGGAACTGAGCCAGATTTATAAAAATAAAAGCCATTCTCCAATTGATATTAATAGGCAGTTTTCAGATGAAGTAGTCAAAATTATCAATAGTCATATGAAAAATACTCTAAATTACTATTAATGAGTGATGCAAATTAAAATAGCTCTGAGATACCACCTTGAACCTGTCAGATTAGGTAATGTGACAGAAGAGAAAAATGACAAATGCTACAGGGTATATGGAAAACTTAGCACACTAATGCACTGTTGGTGGAGTTGTGAATTAGTCCTACCATTCTGGAGAACAATTTGGAGCTATGCCCAAAGAGCAATACCACAAGGTCTATATCCCAAAGACATTTAAAAAAAAAAAAAGGAAAAAAGGACCTATTTGTACAAAAATATTTATAGCAGCTCTTTTTGTGGTGGCAAAGAATTGGAACTTGAGGGTATGCCCATCAATTAGTGATTCGCTGTACAAGTTGTGATATGTGATTGTGATGCAATATTATTGTGCTGTAAGAAACAGTGAACCAGATGGTGTCATAAAAACCTGTAAACAGTTATGTGAACTGAAGCAAAATGAAGTGAGCAGAACCAGGAGAACGTTGTACACAGTAATAGCAGTATTGTAAGGGAGATCAATTGTGAAAGACTTAGCTACTCTGATCAAGACAGTGTTCCAAAAAATTCCTGAAGGATCCTTAATAACAAAAGCTATCCTTCTGCAGAGAAGTGACTGATCAACTCTGAATGCATGCAGACTGAGGCATGCTGTTTTTGTTTTTGTTTTATCTTCCTCCCCACTTCTCTTATCCCCTTCCCCTTCTATTTTCCTGCAGCATACTTTTAAAATTTCATTATTTTTCTTGGGTTTTTTGTTTGTTTGGATCTTCTTTTGCAATGTGGCTAATATGGAATTATGTTTTTCACAATTTTACATGTATAATTGATTTATTGTTTGCCTTCTCAAGGGGTGGGAAAGGGCAGGAGAGAGGGAAGGAATTCAGAACTCAAAAATTTAAAAAAACAAATGTTAAAAAATTTTGTATTTGGAAATATTTTACAAAATAAATAAAAACTTTTTAAAACCTATTAACTATAAATTTGTGGGCAAATACTAGTATTATTTTTATCATTTATTTACATTTTAGCCTAACCAGACAACTGATTGTTACCTAACCTTATGCATTTTCACATATCATCTGCCATGCTTAGCATGCACTGCCTCCTTATTTCTCTTTTTCAGAATTCTTGTCTTCCCTCATTGTTCAATCCAGGTGCCATCTCTTCCACATATCCTTCCCCCTTTCAGGTTTTAACTCTCTTTCTCTTCAATGTTGCCTGAGCCCTTTGTCTCCTTTTTTATCCCAACTCCACTTCCTCCTCCTTTCAGCTAAATGGAGGGCAAAAAGACCCCTAGCCACTCTGGCTTATTGTCCTACCTTTGAATTACAAAACTCAATCTCATGTCATAGTCTCTGTTTCTCAAGGCAAGTATAAAACACTATCTCTTTTAGATTAAAAATCCTAGATTAAATTTCAAGGATCTTTCTCCTCCCCTCCCACCAGAAAATCTGAACACCCAGTTACATACATCTAATTTTTCAGATTCTCACACAAATTAATGAAGTTTCAGTTTTCTGTGGTATCATTTTTTTTAAAGATGTTGTGATTAATGAATTTTATGAATTGTAGAGCATTTCTAATCTTTATGTCAGAGGCTCCTTGAATGTAGAATTTGGACACTTGGGGATCTCTTAGTTTTCTGATTTGTTTGCCCTAACACTGATAAAACCTGAGAACGTTGCTATTTGGTTCTTTTTCTTCAACAGAGGTAGCACCTGGATGTTACTATCTAGTGCTACCTTAGGGATAAACATCTGTTTCCCACACATGAACTTTAGCTCACAGGGCATTAAACATAACAGGTATTATTTACATAGTGAAGCACACAGAAGAGATTGGTTCTTGAATGCCTGCCTTCCTTCCTTCCTTCTTGCATTCCCCTCTCTTTCTTCCTCAGGAGAGATACATTCCTATGAATCAGTGTGGTTCTGGTTCAGTCTCCATTAAAGTACAAGGCCAGTGTTTGTTCCACCTTTAATCAGACAGTTTGAGCTTTTCCATATGCTATTCATCTCTCCTCCTGCATGTATGCTTTCTAGAAGTTGCTTCTCCCCAAGAATGTTTGAATCTTCTCAAATCTTCTCAAGGGCTACAAGCTCATTATGAATCAAAAACATATATGTCTGCCAAGAAATTGTGTATGTTATCACTGAGTGCATTAAAGAAGTGTATCAGGAATAAGGGAGATATT